CTTGTGTTCGGTCGGGTGTATTTCTCCCCGGCCTGGGGTTGATGCGTCTTTTTCCTGTTGTCCGCCTTCAGCACTTTCATTTGTGTTCGCTACGGTATTTCCATGCCGTTCTTGCGTATTGCTCTGACCTTGTGTGACCTGTGAGTACAGTGCTTTCTCTGCTGCATGCGTGTTTGGGGTTGCCTGGGTCTGGCTGCTTTGACCCTCGGCCCCTGCGTACGCCTGGTTGCTACTCTTGCGTGTTGGACAGTACCTTGCCTCGTGGCCAGTCTGTGTACAGAGGTAGCATGTCTGTACTTGGCCAGGGTACCATGTACGTACAGTGACACTACCTACTCTCAGCGTACTCGGTACTCCTTTCTGCAAGCTGATTCGAATCTGCCTGGTTCCTGTTTCGATAGCATAATCTCCATGCTTGACTGTTTTCCTCGTCGGCTGACCGAAAACTTTCCCATGTGCCTCCAAAGAATTGATTAACGCTCCATCGTGTAAATGCAAGGGACAGCCGAACAAGGACACCACAGTGACTTGGCTGCCTCCAACAATAACATGCACATCCTTACCGGCGATCCGGACTCCACTTGCCGCGATCCTATCTCTCACAGCTGGGCAGGACAACGTTACTACACACCAACCTGGCTTTCCGTGTAAGTCCACTAGAAGCAACTCCTCTGGCTTCACTCCATTCTTGGATAGCTCCTCAATGAAGAAAACGTGGTCCTTGGGCCACTCTGGATCCTTGGGGAAGAGAACAGATGCTGCTGAGCCAGGAGCTACAAATTTGCTCCCGCCCGCCATCGTACCCGAAAAATGTAAACCAACTAGCTTTAGAGCAAACGAGAGCAAAAAAATTCTGGCCTTCTGCAAGCAATAGCAAGTAATGAGTGACGGCTGTGTAAAGTCGCACAACCATGAGGTCGACCGGATGATGGTGAGTGTCAGGCACACATCTTGCTCTGCTGCTCCACCTGCGCATACCTGATACGGTGGTGCGCTTACGGGCGGGCTGCCTGGGCCCCAGATGCCTCCTTGATGCGCCGCGGAGTGCCGTCGAAGTAGAGGATATAACCCGAGTCAGAGGGTTATACCGGCTGAATATAAATCCCGACTGCGATAGCAGGAGGGGTTTATATGAGGGTACGGTATAACCCGACTACGAGGGTCATATCCTACTTATGCCAGGTACCCCTACGCATTTCCAGAACAACGAACCTATTTGGAGGTCTCCTACATCATGCAGTACATGAACATCTTCTGATGGTTATCAGTTGTCAGTTGAAAGAATGGTCGAGCAAGGTCAGAAGGAGATTCCTCCGTGGATGTTTGGCATAAAATTTCCTTTCAGTACCAGTGCATATTGTAGCATCTTCATGATCTTGTCTTGAGTCGTGAGCGGTGCGGAAGTCGACTGAATTGCTGCGGTGCTGGAGTTTGTTGTTGAATCAAACTACCGTCACTAGTTAGATTACAGACTCTTTGGGAGTAAGTGTTAGTATAATAATTATGGTACAGTGCTGATTTTCACATGCGGCATCTTATAATCAGTTTTGCTTGCAAGTAGATGCATTTGCATGCACTGTTTTGTATCACATTTCAATCCAATCTATTGTAGCCTTTTCCAATCGGGTTGAAGTACATGTACACTGGTATTATAAACTTATTTACGAAGGAGACAGTCTGTTGATGATCTTCAACTCTTCGAAGTACAATGTACATTGCTGACCCATTCGGGATACTTCGTGGTTATTCGACGTTCTTTATCCTCAGATTCAGTATAACAGAATACTCTGTAGACGAATTCCAGGTCATTCTTCTTTTCCATTGTGTACTGTTCCTCGTCAGTGTGCCGTTCTGTGTGGAGCGTACACGTGCATGTGGTGTCCGTTGTGTCTGTTTATGTATGGTCCGTGCGCTGGAGTACTGCCGCCGTACAAGTTCACTGCCTTTCAGGCAGTGAACATGTACGGTGGCAGTGCCCTAGCGTACGTACCGTGCACCGGGATTTATATTCTATATAAATCCCGCGCGGGATTTATACTGGCCAATATAACCATGGCTAGACGAGCGCTGATTGGCTGAAAACAGGCCCTCCGTACCGTACCATGGTATAAGCACCTGTATCACTTCGGTGATCCAAATGCGAATGCAGCCTTGCCGGTCGCCCACCGGCCTGCCGCCTACGCGACCAGCCTGAGACTGGCCCTGCCGCATTTGGCGCTTCTAAACGCTGCGATCCGGTAGACAGCTCACTGGGCTGCCGAATACGTGACTGGCTTGAGGCCAGTTCCATACTGGGCAGGGCGCCCAGCTCAGGTCGCACGCCGTAGCGGCGTGAGCTGGGCGCGGTGAGGGTTGGTGATAACTACAGTTTCCTCCTTCCTCTTCCGGAAACTTCCATATTTATTATTTTGCACATGTATATACAACCATAGCCATCAGTGCTCACTTCAATTATTTCATAGTAATGGAACTCGTGTTCAATGGATTAAGCATTGTTGCTATGGTGGTTGCTACGGGCGCCGCGCTCGTTCTCATTGGTCATCGCTTGCCGAAATATTGTATTTTGGTCAACATAATGACTAACCAACCTGTATTGCACCTATATTGCACCTACACGCCAGATTACATAGCATTCTGACAATATTGTAATGTTGCTAAGCGTTTGCTAGGCTTTCCGGAAAACCCTGTTGGTGCCACAGCAGTATGGCATTCCGCATACATCATGATGAAGGTTGGCGTAAGACTTTGACGCCTCATATCTCTGGTATCCTTCAAGATTTTTCATCCAAATTTTCTGTGCTGTCTCCTGTACTGTAGTTCTTCCCGAAAACAAACAGTTTTTCTGGTTTACTACGAAAGAAAAAAATACGGTGATATCCCTACTACTAGCAAGAGTACATAAACCGTTTTTTTGGTTTATCATTAAATTTATGACTGACTAGCCGTGCCTCGTGATGCAGCACAGATTATGCATTTATGGTACATGTACACGACTACCAGTAGAGCTGAGTGAGGGGTGAAGGTTGGAACCAGGGAGTCGTATAGACCCGGGAGGCGACACGCGCATCACTTGTGCACAACCATGATCGACTCAACGATTCAAAATATTACGACCTGCTCGGTGTGGGACACGTCCGTACATAGGTCATAGCGCCCGGGAAATCCGTACAATAGCGTCGTCTTCGTCCTTTCGCTGAACAATTCTGGTCAGACTTTCGATCTCCATTGCCGAAATACAGCCATCTGTGGCCATCGCTGAGGAGTTCACTAATAAAGGGTCTTGTTCACTGGCTTACTCACTGGCTTTGCACTGCCACTCGAACTCTGAGGCACTTTGACCACCTAAGATGAGGTAATCCTTTCTTTACAAATTGCCTCAATATTTTCTCACCTTTAGGGCAATGAAGTAATTTTTTTCCTCGTGACTAACTTCGACCGACCAAGTTGCCCTGTCCCAGTGATCTACAATACTTATATTGCACATCTGTGAAATATTGGACCTATCCAGATAAACGAAATGACTTATATTCGAAATTACATTTTCCAAAGTTTTCCTTCACAAATAGTCCCAATTTGTTCTCACCTTTAGGGCAATGAAGTAATTTTTTTCCTCGTGACTAACTTCGACCGACCAAGTTGCCCTGTCTCAGTGATCTACAATACTTATATTGCACATCTGTGAAATATTGGACCTATCCAGATAAACGAAATGACTTATATTCGAAATTACATTTTCCAAAGTTTTCCTTCACAAATTGTCCCAATTTGTTCTCACCTTTAGGGCAATGAAGTAATTTTTTTCCTCGTGACTGACTACGACTCCCTGGTTGGAACCTGTTTTTTTGTGGGATGAGGTCCGTGCCACTTCTGACTATCAGAGTCTGTAACTGGCCTGAGTGATCACCTTCACTTCCATGCAGCCAGGATGCCACATGATTGCATCGACTGCACCTGGTTTTACGCAATGAGGTCCTGTAATAAATGAACTGAACGGCGGAAGCCAAGCAGAAGTAACAACATGTACGCACAGCCAGACAACAGACCGTCCCAAAAAAGGGCCTTTAGGAGGGCTGGAGATCCTTTCCTTGTACCAAACCTGGCAAAGCTCAGAATAGAACAGAAGATTAAAACACACAGTAGGGTCTGACACACCTGATCCAGGCATGCAAGCACTCACCACAAATGCCCTGCCAAAGCAGCTGGACAGGACCACAGAGGCGATCTATTCAGCGATGGTGAAGGTAACATAATTATCAAGTACAAATGCACAACATCCTGCAACTACACACTGCACCGGAGTGGTGCTAGAAAATAATAGCAAAAATATACAATCAACAATTTAAAAACATGTCAGTAACAATATACTACTTAAAAAAAAGATGGTGTGAAACACGAAATATAATAAAAATCTCAACTCGAAAGTTCCTGGAAAACCATAACCATGGACACACTGTAGTCTATATAAGAATAATCAAAAACCCAACTGAAATAGACATGGGTTGAAGTCCAAACTAAGGGTATGTTCTACATTCAGTGTTCTAAAGATCCAGCTCCGCCTGAATACTATCATCATGATGGATGGTGACTGGAGTGTGTACTAGTAGTGCATGAGAAGTGCCTAAACTAGCCTAAACTAAAGGTAAGCTTTGCAACGCATCACACTGTGCTGTAGTGACGAACAGAGATCTAGAGTAGTGTTGGAAATATCATACGATCAAGACAAGGACAACAACAACACTAAGAACAAGAGTAGCAGCAGCAACATGAGGAGGAGCAGAGGGCGACGGTGGTAGTAGCCAATCACTGGCATTGAATGTGGCAATGTAACAAAGGCAAGTAAATCGTTGTGATAGTGAGCGGTAGCGTACAGTTTGTAGGGAAATAATTTCTTGAGTACTTGACGCACTGGTGGCATGGTACACGTGAACTGGATATTCGGGAAAAGGTGGGCTATGTGTTGGACACAGATGCATACTGCTGACCGACTGTCCTGTACTGTGCTATGAGCTAGTTGGACTAAGCTGCATCACACAATACAAAAATAGACAGGTGTAGATAACGGAAAATGTCGGTGAAAGGGCACGGCGGTTGGCTACATTCAGTACATTGACTAATCTGAAGATGCATGGATGGCTCGGCATATGTGAGTTACGCTCATCACAGAGACTATCACGGATGTGGACTTAGGAGTGATCAGTTCCCATTTGTTGATGCCGGATATCCCCCGGGCAGATGCTAATTACAGCCGGCGTCTACTTGCGAAGACTACAACAATCACTCAGCTAGGGTAATCACTGTAGACCATACGCACAGGTGCCTATTCCCTGCTAGCTAAAGGGGAGGAGAGGTAACAGCTGACACTGATATGTAATCACTGTTGACCATACGCACAGGTGCCTATTCCCTGCTAGCTAAAGGGGAGGAGAGGTAACAGCTGACACTGATATGTAGCCATGTGATACTGACTGTCACACAACTCCTTTCTTTTTAAAATGATGCACTGGCATTACACAGGACAGAGAGTTGTCCAGCGGTAGTGGAAGCAAGCAGAAGCTGATCTCAGCTACATGTACTTACGGCTATTTCCGGGAATAGCTCTTCAACGACAATGTCAAGTAGTGGATATACCAGCTATGCGCATAGTGAAAGGAACACACAAACCAACACACAAACCAACACACAAACCAACACACAAACCAACACACAAACCAACACACATGCATGCACACAACTGTTACGTACGATTATAATATCGATTACATACCATACTAGTGAGTGACGTGCCAACAGACTTCACAATAATAATATTATTCACTTCCTATTGTACAATATACATGTAGGCACACTGGTGCAGGTTCCACAAGCATGGTTCTCCAACTAAAGTCTAGCGTTGTCACCTGAGACGTGTTGCCATGTACTACTGAAACAAATCACAAACCATGGTCAAAAGTCTCAAAACATCCTAAACTTTTGCCATCTTATACAATGCGACAACAATGAGCAGTTATGGTTCTTGATGTATGGGCAATTCTATTTTCCATTGCCAATTGCATGGACATTGTATTCCTGGTGCATACGCAATGTATTAGAAATTTCATTCCACAGCTGGGGTGAGAGTCAGTCAGAATGATCTATCCGCATCCGTAGGAAATGCAGTGTGTGCGTGTCTCCAAGCACTCGCTTCCTCTAGGCTTGTAGCGTTAAGGGAGGGAGAGAGAGAGAGAGAGAGAGAGAGAGAGAGAGAGAGAGTGAGAGAGGGAGAGAGGGAGAGAGAGGGAGAGAGCACAGGAAAAATACAGTGTGCCATTTCAAATGACAGTAACTGACCAGTTTGTTCATTCGTTTGCTCTGCAGGATGTCAATAAGCTCCTTAAAGCCGTCATGGAACTTATCCTTGCCCAGGACAGCACCGATCACACCTGCCAATGCATACCACACATACCACACATACCATGGACGCATGCACATACATGCGCGCACACGCGCGCACGCGCGCATGCGCGCACACACACATACATACACACATACATACATACATACGAGTATATTTAGTACATTTAGAGACTTTAGCTCTGGAATCATCTGAAGTTATGTGCAAGGTATTCATTGGTTTGAGGGAAAGACGCAAAATATGTGCAAGACATCAACTTTCATCCAACAAATAAGACATACCTGGAAAGAAGTCAACAAGATCATGAATGGCTTTTTCTCTCCTCTCAGCCTTCTGTTCATCGTTCCTGTAAAATTATTCAGCAGGAGAAACGAGTACAAGAAAAAGCAGACAGTGACAGATAAGGTAGCTAGGAACACTTAGGCCATGAACATTTGCAGAAGAAGTGCTGTTTTCTTGTCCTAGGTTGCTCCTAGGTTGACCCCCGCAATAATATTCATAAGGGGGGGGGGATACTGAACTCATGCATTTTGTTGTACTTACGGCCACTTGAAAGCACTTGCAGAAAAAGGGAAAATTCACAAACTTTGAGGCCCCTCAAGTACAACAAAATGCATCAGTACCTCCCATGCGAATATAATAGTCGCTCAAACAGTCACAGGTCAATCGCACAGTAGATGAATCAAGGGGATACCAGGTGTGTAGCCCGCATGGGGCACGTGGGGGGGGGGCACTTGGGGGGCAAGTGCCCCCCCCCAAATTTCGACATAGGTTCAGCATGCACATAATGACCATGAATGATATGCACCTGCCATCCTACACATCATATGCAGCTGTGCACCCCCCTGAAAGGGAGACCAGCTATGCCCCTGGGGTACGCTGCCCGTCACCAAGCAGCAAAAGGGATACCGTTCATACGCGTGGGCAGCACGCGGCAGGGTAGGAGAACAGCTTAACCTGCAGTGCACAATGTTGAGAGCGATCATCTCTAGCAGAATCTGCCCATCGCAGTCAATGCCTGGATTCACAGTTCACTTACCTTTCAGGACTGTCGTCCTCAAAAACGGTTTCTACACAAACAATAGGAAAAACAGCAGAGCAAGCACCAGAGACCGCTTCAACACCTTTAATTCACTGCATGACAGTTTGCGTGGTGACAATGCTACATGCTACATGATGCATGATGCATGCTACAAGCTACATGTACTTCAAAGTAGCTAAAAGCATATTCATCATTACTTCCTTCTCATCAATCAAGTGCCTGGTGCTGCTGTGGGGAAACCCCCTAGTGTTCCCCAATCAATGTCATCAAGAGTAGTACTGTACATTTAGTGCAAGGTGAGGTTCAAGGTTTCTTGGGAACTTTTCACATTCCAAGCTTTGCAATCTCGAGTGTCAAAAGCCGTATTGTCTAAAGCCAGAAGTGAAAATCTACTCCAAAGCAAACCATACAGTATCCAAGGTGACTAAACCCTGTTGAAGTGCTGAAGTGCCCTGTATGCAGTCGCACCATGCAGGTCTGTATGATTTAAGTTGTATGTGATAAATCAACATCACCAGGAAAATTGACAAACTTGACGTTAACACAAACTTCCGCCATGGGTCAGACTAGCCGAGGAAGTGCACACTCTTATACAGTGGTTTCACATCTGTGTTGTCATGCAACCAAATTAGTATAGAATGTATGGCATGTGGACAGTGGAACAAACATGGCCAACATCATGTGACCCGTACATGCAACGGTTGACTGGAGTTGGAACCAACATGGCTGTCCCGTATAGTATTATTGTGATAGATGTGAGACCATTCCATTGATGTAGTTTTGATGTGCGGCATTGCGCATTGGGCATTGAACATTGAACAATGCTCACATTGAACAATGAACATTGAGCATGGAACATCAAAATTTGAACATTGAGCACAAAACATTGAACTTACCAATGAACAGGTCGATCAAGTCGATGACTGTGGCATCTGCCTTCAGAATCTCAACCTTGCCGAGAAGAAACCTGCATGGCATCGGAACACATGGGGATTTCCAGTGGACACGCGTTACACCACGTTCAATAGGAATCGGTTCTCAGGCTCCGAGTGAGCTCCGGAGGGGTGGCACGGCCCCCAGGTCGAGTCCCCAGGTCAGCCACAGGGCCAATCACTACTACCCCATGTGATGTCCAATGTCAGCATCATAAGAGGATGCATCTCTAGCTCTATGCAGTATGGCTGCTTGTTTTAGCACCACAATCTGCTGGCAACAGATATCCCGCTAGCATGGTAGTCCTCACGAGACAAGAGCAGCAGTTCACGAGGTATAGACTCCCCGGGACGTGAGCACTGTATGAAGGTAGACTAGTGATACCTCCACACAGTTAGTGCACACTGGTCATTCTATGAGCACTGGGAATTTTTAAGAAACTGGTACGGCCATAGCCGTAGCCACCACACCAGCAGCGGCAGTTCTGGTTCTCTTAGTTAGTGCCTACATGAATTCTCAACATACTATGCATTCCAAGCAAAAACACCCCTCATACTATGATGTATAGCGGTACTCGGAAAGATATCCATTTAGAAAAACACTTCTCAAAACCTCGCCATTTGCTAACCCTTCCTTCAAACAAGATGAAAAGAATTGCACGCTAGCAAGAAAATGATGTTGAGACGCAAACCTTTCCGGCAAGCTACTACAGAGTATACGGAGGAGAGAAATGCAGACAACACAGCTACAGCCAATACATACGTGTCAAGATAGGCGTCGAGAGTCTTGTGCCCTACTATCTTGCCACAGAAGAGCGCAATAAGCAGCCATCTCGGCGGGTGGAACAAATTGTCCACTGCATGAACAAAGACAGTCCAACAGCAGAGATAGTCACAGCCCCAACACCATCCAACAAAGTAAAACGCCAAATGTAGCCATTTTCGAGCTTACATGGTGACCTAACACTGCAATCTTACATAGCAGTAACATTTCAGACATAAGAGCACTGACCCCACTACTTACTCATATAAATGATGACATCAAATAATCCATCAAACGGCATCACACCTGCGCAAGAACAACACCAGACACACATACATGTGCATGTACAGTACATACTTTATAGCCTGCCTACTCTTGGGCAACCTGCTCTTGAGCATAGAAGATGGGATGCACAGCTCAGGGAAGCCAGCAAAACTTCCAGGGTTTCCAAAACAACCATAGAGAAGTCATTCACATTCCCGTTAGTCCTGGTCTACTCCATCACACCCACACTGGATGCATGGAGACACTGGGACCGGAACTACTAGCAAGGCATGTGCACGCCAGAGGCCTGTGAACCGTGTGACTCACCGGCTTCGCGCAGGGGCATGCTCCAGTACTGCCTGTCAACAGGAACCGCGTACTCAGCACTCTGCGCAACAGCACACAAGATGAAGTGAAAACAAACACGGCACGTTTATTTACATTTTAACAAATAAGCACACCGCCTTCGAGGACACCCTGCAGCAAGGCAGAGATGAGACATATTATGGCATGAGTGGGGAAAAGGCAGGGACAGCTTTGCCGACCATATGGTTTCAGCTTCATTGCAACCCACTGTTCATAAATTAAATATATTCAAATGCATTGACGGTACAAGGAGCCAAGTCATAGGACTTGAAAACTCAACCAGCTCACGTGGAAGTAACTGCAAACACCAACACTGTCTGGAATTACTATGTGAATACTTGGTGCAAACAAAGTGACCATGCACATGACCAGTGGAGCCAGTAGCCAATATCTATCTAGACATATCCCTGACCTGCTTGAACTCCTCCGCAATCTTCTCAACATCTTCACGCTCCTTCTGAAGCTTCTGAAGCTCCTCAGGACTGAAAGTGGGAAAGCAAAGACAAAAGCAAACATTTCTATCAAAGGAGAAAAGGCCAATATCAAGCAAAAACAATGCTATATTGGTGTGGTGGCAGCGGTGGTGGTGATGGAAAGGTGAATTCATGTACTTCGAAGTACATGTATGTCTTTTTGCTGCAAGGGCCCTGATACGATGATCAGAACAGCGGGTGATATAGAGTCTCCAAGTATGGTGATGGAAAATCCATGATCCATGATCCAAATCTATTCGTGTGCGTAGTGACACCATAAGAATGCATACCCTAGGTGAGCTAGAAAACAACTTCCAGGGATGATACAATGCAACGCTACTCGTCACAGAAACACTATTCAAGTGTGAACTGACCTGTGCTCCGGAACGGGCGAGAATGTTGAGTTTAGAAATGTGCCCAGGAAATCATCCAGATGCTGGCCTCGCTTCAGTAACTGCGGCACTGCAAAGTTTAAGCCTGCACAAACCAACAAACCCACAGGCAAACATGATGACAGTGACGACGTGAAAACAGAGCAGAAAAATAGGACTATGAATCAACAAAGTATGATAACAAGTGCAAGGAACAAGACGGTGATTGCTCCGAATGTTGGAGCTTACGCTTCCTGCGAGCTCCAACCCTCGAAGCAGCCACCTTCTTCACATGCTACCGCCGAAGTCACAATACCTTAGTTCGTAAGAAACAAGAACGCTCTAATCATACAAAACCCATTAGAGACAGAGAACGTGAGGGGATAAACGAGCGAAAGAATCACAGGAAAAAGACAAGACCACTCTGAGTCGAAAGGCAATTGCAGGCAAGCAGGTGAGAGACCATATCAGTCCTGTGGATGGGTATGTTCTCAGTTGTAGCACAGTCTGTTCAGTCCCTAGCTAAATACTGAATCATAACTCATACCGTAGTGTTCCTTCGTCTCTAAGAGCACGCACACAATTTCTATACCCCTCGTGTACAACACATGCCCCCCCCCCCCCCCCTCTCTCTCTCTCACACACACAAAACACATGTACACATGCACACAAGCACACACCAGCACACTCCCACCTGAACATGGAAAGTTACAGAGGTATGCGCACGCAATACACAATACACATACCTGCTTTCTTCTCAAACACTACACCAGGGTTGGTCAGGAAATTGTACAGGGCCTGGCTTCTCTTCAGAGATGGATGCAGGATAAGTTGCTGCAGTGAACAGTGAGTGATCATATCAGGTTGACAATTTGACATAGCGAATGGACTTGCGTACTAAGCATGTCTGACAGTCACAGAGCTGGAAGGCAGTTCTGGAGTGGTCAACCCCACCACAACCTTCGCCAAGAAGAAGTAAGCATCACAAATGGGCAGATGCAAAGGAAGCGGTTCAAACTTTGTGTAGGCATGCGTGTGTGTCAACAAGCAAGACAACAAGACGTAATGAGCACCATGTTCATGGGTCTGATAAGAGTAGAAGCCAGGCGTGAATAGAGGCGGATAGTCCACTGCAGTACCCTGATGATGGGCCGGGGCCCGAAAAATTGGCGTAATGTAAATCTTAATTTTAATTTTAATTGCAGTGAAGAGACCGTTTTTGGAGTGAGAAGTGAAGTTTTCTAAATATGCAAGTGGCTGCGTTGGAGTTTGCGGACAATTAGAAAAATCCACTTCGACAGAGAAATCCATGGCAGTGAAACAACAAACTCATACCTCTCACTTTGACCATACTAGAGCACGACTGTACACGAAACAGAAGCGTCAAGACAGTGGTTTACCTGTAAGTATTTCTCTAGGGATTGCTGGCTCTTCTCCAGGGTCTGCTTGGGTGTAATCCTGCTGAGGTTGAGCAGTTTCTTGATAGGAAGTGTGGATGCCAATATCACCTACCAGCACCAACACAAAGAGGCCATGTTCAAAAGGAATAAACTTGACACAATACGGCGTCTATTGCAAAAATATCTCCACAACAGCAGCGCGCGCATTCCAGAGCCAACTTCCAATCCTTCATATCGAATAACATTTATCCCCGTAGGTCTCGTACAGGCTCAGCGTTCGTACTGCGGTCTATCGCAAGCAGAATTTTCCATCCACCACCACCTCTGGGCGCATTTGTCACAAGAACACATGGGCAGTAGGTTTGGCCGGTGTAT